GTTCAATTGTCATTAATATCGATACCAAGAACTTCTCGCAGATAAACATGTTAATTAGTTGACACCCTTTTAGATTTTCAGAACTGTTAAAAGGTGTCTTACTTGGCTCAAAGGCAACAATCGCAAAAAGAGCCATCTCGGTTTGATCCAAGAAGGCAAAGACTTGATTAGCTACGCCCTCATTAACTACGTAGCCATTAGAAAAATCCTCAAGATATACGACAAGGTTCATGAGTCTAGCCAAGAACAAGCGTTTAAGACACAGGTCCAGAAAATGCATATCGAAATCCTTCAATCACCGTGGCTCTGCGAGCTTATGGCGTTTCACATCAACCTGAAAGAATCTCAGAAGGACTACTCTGGAGCTGTTTTGGCTTCTTCTCATGCACTGTTTTATGGTTGCTCTTTGGTGTTTGATGATGGGAAAGCCTTTACTTTCCTGCGAGTTCTCTGGTTCTGTAAAAGTTAACATCGACTTGACTTGTTCAATATGCTTGGTAAGCAAAACTTTAAGATGAGATCACAGAATCTCAGTGTCAATAAACTATTAGTTGACTTGGTAGTAATCTGCAATATTTAACAAAGTATCAGCCTATAGTGATAAAGTCTTAGCTCTGTTGTGTCAAAGTGCTATTCCACTCTTCTCTTGCAGATTCCATTTCAGATACTAAGTCCCTTTTTTAAGTATCTTACTGAAAGAATATTTTATACGGAATGTATAACAGGACACGGTGTTTGATCCGATATCTCTGACATGTGGTCACATATTCCTACATGTGTGCTTGTTCTACTGCATCAGTAAACGTAGTAGATGGCTTGAAAATGGCAGACCCGTTGAAAAATGCCCGCTTTGCCGTGAGGTTAGTTAGACCCATTATCTTCACAAACTTATTGATCTACTCTAATCTTTGCATCTTAAATTTACCCATTCGATGACAGGTTTGTGTTTACAAAGGTGCTGTTCACTAGGACGAGCTCAGTATCTTGCTTAAGTGCAGGTAAGCTGTCTTATAATGTAGTCTCATTGTTACCTGTATTTTTTTTTTTTAAGAAAGAGGACTAAAATATAAAAACGACATGTTTACTCTCCTGCAAGAGCTTCTGCAAGTCATCTTTACTTTCCCTTTACCCGTCACGTTTGATACCTCTTATGAGTTTTTGATAATCAATAAAATTAACAAGCTATTTCGTTCTAAATATGTAGTAAAACCTATCATCTTACTTCGTTGATTATTCACATAATTCTACTTTTCGTTTTGGTTTTGACTCTAATGATTGTTGCTGTTGATTTAACGTGATTTTAGTTGTTCTTTCAAGGTTCTGATTGCATGGCTTCCAAGGAAAAAAAAAACTCAGGTTTGCTAATAAACGAACATGTTTCTTTGTTAATATTGTGGTACCCTATCTCTTTCATCACATGATTTTAGATGGTTCTTTCTCTACAGTCAGCTGATTGCTTCATAAATTTCCTACATTGGCTTACTGAAACTCATATTCAGGAGCTAGAGGAGGAACTGAAACTTCTCAAGAATCATTCTCAACCAAATATAGTTGTAAACAATAAAAGCTTTCTTGATTTCTTACAATGTCCAATACACCTACTACTTTCTTTTATAACTCTTTTCATTCAAAACACTGAGAATTTTGTTTCTTTATAACATGGAAACAAGAACTTTTGATTGATTTATTCGTAGAAATCTGGAGCATTGACCATGGCTGAGGGAACCAAGAGCTTGAACTCAAGTTTCATCTAAACTGATGCTCTTCAGGAATTTTTAAAGGTAAAGATGCCATCTTCTTTGCTCTTGAGTTAGAGATTTTATTTCTATCTTTGATTGTTTATTTTTAAAAAATTTACGACTTTGCTTAAGTGTTTATCTATTTGGTCTTCTCATTAGCATTATTCCTGTGAAAAATCTTCAAAGGTCGATTTGTTTGTATCAGATTCATCTTTGCAGAGTGATTTTTTTTTTAATAAAAATAAATACATCTGTTGCAGCGTAGTCGGTTGTGGTTGTGGGTGTTAAAGACAAAAGTGATGGTAAGAAAGCTAGAAGGCCAAGGAAGAAAATGAAGATCAGTGAAAAGCGGGTGGTTGGATAAAGGAGGAATCTAAAAAGGTTGTGATTGGACACTTGAGGTCTCATAAGGGAAGTAACTATAAAATGATTTTCACCTCCTGGATTATTTGTCGAGGCTAGAGCGGTTGTGATTTCGGAACCGAACTTTGTTTTTGTTTTCTTTGGTGGTGGAGAAAAGCAAAACATTAAGAGAGTTTGTTTGATACACTAAGCGTTCAGATTCTAGAATCTCCTTATATAGAGTAAAATTTAGGATCAGAGTTCTTAATCTAAAAAAACGAAGATACTGACTTTTTTTACTGCTCAGATTTTTTTACTTTTGTGGCAGAGATTGAACAGTAAGCGGGGGCATGTCTACAAGTTTCTCAAACTACAAGGCTTTGTCCTTACGACACTGCTCCTCGGTACAGAGATTCAGAAGCTTACAAGGTCACTGTTTTTCTTTATTATAATAAAACTTTGGGTATGCTGTAATTATTTTTTTGTCATTTTGGCTTCACAGTGGGTATGCCACAGGAATCATTGGGGTAACATGCGCTGTTGATTTCATATGGCTTCTAAATCCAAATACGTATAGAAAGTTTCTACAAAGAAGTTGGAGTAAGACATGTTTGGCATGTTTAGGGCAGATGTTCTTCAAGTTTCTCTTATGTAGAAGAATGTCTCTTGCATCAGAATTCTGTGTAAAGTTTTTATGGGACAGTTTTATTTTCTATATTAATTAACATGTGACCATTTGAATTTGCAGTATCTATTGAGAAGAGTCCACATGGTATAATACATTCACTGGTTCAAGGGATGAAGTGGATGGTATTGATATTGAAAAGGTTCGATGGAACAAACCCCCTATTGGGTCCCTAAAATGTAATGTGGGATCTTCATGGATAAATTCGAATCAGTCGAGTGGTGCAGCGTGGATACTCCGGGATGAAAAAGGACGTACAATCATGCATAGCCGCCGGGCCTATTCCTATATGCGCTCAAAGTCGGAGGCTGACTTGTGAGCTCTCTTCTGCGCAGTGGAATGCTTGCACAACTTACATTTCTCAAATCTTATTCTGGATACTTCCTCGGAGGGCTTACATGACGCGTTAACGAATCCCAGTGATCACTTCAGCCTCAGTCACATCCGTCACAGCATCCTTTGGCTTCTAACAAAAATAGACTCATGGAGCTTGGATCATGTTCTCCCAGAAAGAAATGAAGCTGCAGCGGCCATTGCTCTCAGTGTCACGCGGGATAGGCGCCACCAGTCGTATATTGTCCGGAATGCTCCATTTTGGCTATATCACCTTCTCGATTTGGAGTCTCATTAAGAAAGGGATTGGGTAACCCCGTTTCTTTCTCATGTGATGGTGTCTACTGACATCTCATTTTCTCTTTATTATTTTACTCACTTTTGTTTATTTTATCGAACTATGTACCTCTATTAGAGTTATAAAAAAAAAATATTTCTTCATTGGGAAGTTGGCTAAGTTTAGCCATGAAATCTACTAGTATAAGTAGAGAAAGACGCGCCTTGGAATAGGCCGTAGGCGTACCACCTCAAGAGAATGCCATAACCATAAGGGCTTTGGTGTTGAATGAGAGTAGACACAAAGCATAAAGGCTAGGGGACATAAGGTGGTCTGAGAGGTTCTTGGGTTGAGTAGATTTAGGAACGTGTTAGGCTAGTGTCTCTGAGTGTGACATGTTAGTCAATTCTGAAGGGAGCTAGTAAAGCACTTTATCTATGTATAAACCTCTGATATTATCCTTTTGCAGTACTTTATGAAATAAATAAAGCATTGTACTTGTATATATTACTCTCTATATTAGACCATCATGCACTTTCAGTAATGATACAATATGCAGAAATTTATGTTACACAATGCAGAAATTATGTAGAAAGATTTATTTTATTTATGCTTCATTTTGTAAATTATCCAAGTCTCAAAAACAATACTGGACGATAATCAAACTGAAACTTATCTCCGCTCATTAGATATGCAGTTTAATACGCCATAAAATATATAGTTGATCAATTTTCCAAAAATTGTTGATTAACAAGTTATAGGTAGCATGAGTCGAGCTTTCCATAAGACCATAGTTACCAGACAATATTCGAACATTAGTTGAAAGAAAGCATAACGCAAAAATTGAACCATATATATTTGGTTAAGAATGCAGGTGGTAGATACTCTCGCGTCATTATTCGTCAGCAACTAAATTTCACCTTTTCACTTTTCTATGGTAATATATTTGTTGGTCTTTGATGACTTCACACCGTGTTGGGTTAACTATAAAAGAAATACAAAAGTCAAAATTTAACAGCTCCCACTCAAGAAAGATGTTGTTTATTCAAGTCTCCTATTGCCCAATAGCATTCTACGTTCTACAACGTCATGCTAACTATTTTGCAGTTCTTACTTTTTTTTTTTCTTGGTAACATCTTACTTTTTTCTCAATAAAAAATGCTTTTTCAACCTCTATATGAAAGTCGTGGAGAAGAGGTCAACATCTTTTGTAGAGAAGCAGTGGTTATTTGGAAAAACTCATTTGAGATTCACTTCTAATATGAATACACGTTGTTTTGTCTACCTTATATAATAGTAAAAAAGTTGACCTAAACAATTCAATTAAATATATTAAAAACCCTGTCAACAAAATTAGATAGTCCAACATTCTTGGTCAAGAATTAATGCTATTTGCTTACACACGCACATACACAAACGCTTATATATAAAAGCAAAAATCACCAAGCATTTGTTCTTTAGTTTCAACAGAGAGAGAACAAGAGTATAGAGAGAAGAAGAAGGTAGAGAAAGAAGTGAAAGCAAACAAAAGTTATAAAATGGAGAAGAAGATCAGTGTCTTTGTTATGTGTATGATATTTTTATTGGTGCGCTCGTCTTTGATGTTTGGGGTAGTTGATTGCAGAGCCATACAATCAAAGCCGTTGAGAGATATCAACGGCCAAGATCAATTGGGGGTGGCCATGAAGGTGAAGAACAACTCCAGCAGTCAACGTCCTTTGATGAGGAGCTATGGTTTCCGGTTAGCGTCTGGACCGAGCAGAAGAGGACGAGGTCACTGATCAAAAATTACCATTTACTCTTTTTTAATGTTAATTACTATATTTCTATTTCTTTTGGTTAGATCGTTTTAAAAGTGTAAATCGTAAGTTTTGTTCAAAGAGATGTTACTAGCTTTATCACTCGATTGCATGTAAATGTATTAAAAAAAAAAATTTAATGGAAGATAACAGTAAAGTAAATTATTACTGGATTAAAAAAGCAAATGCAACTCCCTAATTGTGGATAGAAAAGCAATAATTTCAGTAATATAGAGTAAAGTTCTAAAATATAATTTGAATAAAAGGTGGACAACCTATGAGTCAAAGATCATAGGAAATAGTAGCCAGTATATCATATTCAAGTGGCCGCGTGATCAAACATATGTTCAAATATTGCATTAAGCCATGCATTACTGATTTGCTAAACAACTCCGCGTTATGAGTTCATGTGTGTTATAAAAGAAGAATACAGATGGTATACGTTTTCTTCAAGAACGATTATAAGAACCCGCCTTATTCCTTAATATTTTGGGGTGGTTGAGTGTTGTTTAAAAAGCAAACTATAAATTCAAAGGCCACTCAGTTAGTCGTATTTAGTAATGTAAAATTGTCAACCATGGGTTTGTTCATTTGACTTCTCTTATTTTATGTGATTGTTGGTTTATGCTTTTGTAGTTTGGTGGGACTTTTTCCTCTATAATTCGTAAATAGAAGTTAAATAAAAATTTTCAAACTTTAATTCACTTACTTTATCTTTACAATATACTCCCTTCATTTCACAAATTAAGATACATATTGTAGGAAAAGAATTTGTTCCAAAAAGATACCTCTTTATATTTTCAATACACTTTTTTATCAACTAATAATGATTAATTGTAAACTTTAAGAAAATTAATTACATTTTTAACACAAAGAAATTATGATGACAAAAGAAAATTAAATACATTTACTAAATTTTTATTGGTTTAGAATTCTCGGAAATAGATAAGCACAAAAATTATGCATTTAGTACTTAAATTTAATATGTTTTATTAATTTATGTGAAAAAGCCAAAATATACAACAATTTGAGATAGAGCGAGTATATAAAATGAAAAACACTCTAGAATAGTCTTTAAAATTTTTTTATTAAAAATTAGCTTCCAAAAGTTAAAATGGCCAAAATAGAACTCATTAAAGAGTAAGAATATAGTTATAACACTAGAGTTAATTAATTTAAATGTAGAGTTTAGATTTCTTTTTTTTGGGGGGGGGGGGGTGTTAGGTTTGGAGATTAGGGTTTCAGGCATAATATTTAAATAATATATTTTTGGGAAATTCTAATTTTACCATAAACTTGATACCATTTCTTTAGTTTACCTTAAAAGGATGATTATTTCCATAAATATCCCAATTTTGTGATGAAAAAGACTAAAATTGCCATCTTAAAGCATTTTAAAATGTTTAATAATTATTTATGAAAATTAAGAAACCACACCCCTTAAATACTAAACCAGAAAGAATAACACTAAATTATTGATCCAAATGTTAGTGTAGTTTGATTGAATATATTTTTGAAAATGGTATCAAATATTAAATATAAACTCAAACACTATATCTTTTTCAATAATTAATCTTAAATCATAATACCCTAAACCTTTAACCCTCAAACCCTATACTCAAACCTTATTCTAAACTCATAACTTTAAATCTAAAATCTAAATTGAATATAAAATCAAACTTAAATTTAATTCTTCAAATAAATTCAAATTTATTTTTAAATTTTAACTTAAAATCATAACCATGAACTCTAAACCTTATATACTCAAATCTTATCTATCATAATAAAACTCAAACCTTCAATTTACACATTTAATTATTAAACCGAATCATAATTACAAATCTAATATTCTCATAGTTAAACACCAAACTTTGAGCATACATTTTTAAAAATTTAATATGTTCAAATTTTAAACCTTTAAACTAATTTTATTTACTATACTCTTATATTTTAAACTAATTTCATTTTACATTTAAAATAAATCTTAACTTATAAATAATTTTAAAATTTCCAATCTATTATTTGAAACATTGACACCAAACTATAGTTACATTATTATTTTTTTGGTTCGAAATTATATATAAATAAATAACTTAATCATTATATTAAATGAAAACAATTTTCTAATGGATTATTTTGGCCTTTGATTGATTTCAATCCAAAGGCCACAAATTAATGTTTGGTTTATCTTTTATCTTTTTTCTTATTGGTTAGTATCTCAAACACAAGGATAGCAATCTTAACCATCCAATATATTTGATCCTATGGATAGAAATCACTCATACTCAGATCTCTATCTCTTCCTCCCTTCCTTCTCTCACGTTATCTCTCTCTCTCTCTCTCTCTCTCTCTCTCTCTTTTTTGTTACAGATCTCTCTGGTTATCCCTCCCTTCTTCCTCAGTCACCACCACCACCACAAGACCTCCATTCGTTCGCCCGCCGTCCCAGCTCATAACAACCACCACACATCCTCCGTTCGTTTGCCGTCCCAGCATCACAACCACCACACAACCACGGTTAGAACTCTCTCTCTCTCTCTCTCCATCTCTCTCTCTCTCTCTGTTTTGAACTGGTATTATTGATTTTAGGGAAGCAAGGCAAGGCAGGCATGGCGGCTGGAGGAGGAAGATGACGGCTTCAGATTCAGGAGGAGGAAGCTGACGTCGAGTTGGTGGGGAGGCGACGAGATTATGTCTAGATGGATGTGACGACGGCGGTGGTGATGAAGGTCATGGCTGGATGAAGCCCAAGATGAAGAAGAAGAATCATGGCTGGATACTGATGAAGGTCATGGCAAAAACAAAGACGGCGGTGTTTAGTTAGTAATTAGGTTAAAGCGGTTTAGTTTTTGGTTTATTTAGTTGGTTGGTTTATTATTTAATTAGATTTTTTTTTGTATTTTTGTAAACCAATTTAACTATAGATAAATTTAAATAATAAAGTAAATTTGATTCCATGTATAATTTTAATTTTTAATTACGTTTTTAGTTTTAAATAATTAACTAAAAATTAATTCTAAAATAAATAAAATTTAATGTAAATAATAACAAAAAAAAATCATGCTATTAAAGACTCTTTAATTGCATACAAAAAAACGCTATAATATATGACAATAAAATAGCAGTGCAAAAAACCGCTATCTAAAGTGCTTGACCTATTATGACGGGCGATGATACATCGCTTCATAAACCGCTATCGTATTGATAGATAGCGTTTTTCGTCCGCAAATAAAAGCCATTTTTCTTGTAGTGAATACATGCAATTCGGTGTATAAGACTGCTTTAAGACATTTGATCACTTTTATCTTACTACCTCAGATTTGATCAAAGATCCATTGGTATGTTTTGTATAATATTCATGCACAAACCTAAGAAGTTAGATATGATGGCGTAAGAGACAATATGAGGAGTAAGTAAAAAATCTAAACGTTCTTACATATTTATGCAAAACCCTCAAAATCTAATTGTCCTCTTAAACTGTGGCGGCTATCGCCTTCTTACTCTTTGTCATCTTCAGATTTGTTTTCTGATTCTCTAGTCTCTCATCTCTGCCCAAGGGTCCCTATCACTACTGTTGAAGCAACCGAGACAGGGACTCACTCAGAGGCGGACCTATTTGATGTAAAAATGGGTCAAGTGACACACCATAAATTTGATTATCTCTTTATAATTTATAGGTGTTTTGGATTGTGAACCAGGTAAAAATTTTCTCTAGATCCGCCAATGAACTGACTCAAGGTACATAGGAAGAGCCGCTCCAGTTCGAAACAACGCCATAGACACTTCAGATTATTCTAATTCTTCTTACCTTAATGCTTCAATATTTGTGAGTTAGTAGTTGCTAATTAGTTTAATACAAAAAAAAAGAAATTTAAAAGAGAAAAAACTAATAAATGAAACTTTTATGACTCTTTTGGTTGTATATAATGAGGAATAAGAAAGGGAGGCTGACAGAATTTTGATATAGTCTGTTATTAAATTGAATAAAGAATAAATGATTTGTAACTGGTGAAAATATGTTCTTGTACAGGGAGAGTAAGCGGAAGACGATGAAGGAGAGATTGAACTGGTGACGTGTAAACACCTCACTGGTTTGAATTTTCATATTGACATGGACACTTTTTCAACTCAATACCCTTTTAGTATCTGTGATTGATTTTTAAATGAAAGTCTATTTAAAAAAAAAATTGTTATTTTAAAAAGTTTGGATTGGTAGAAAATGTTTACAAGAAATCTCAATAGTGGAAGTCCCTTTAGTCCAATGGTTTGACTAGGGTTTCATTAATGTTTTTATACCAAAATGTCAGGATTTCAACTTTTAGAGAAGACAAAATTATGTGAATTAGAAGATTTGAACTTCTAGAGAAGACAAAATTATGTGAATTAGTGGAGAAAAAACTTACAAGAGATCTGCATTATGGTGCATGAAGTATGGTCAACGTGGATCCCAAATGACGACTCAGGTGGTGCAGTCAAACGTGATTTCACATTAGGTAGGTAGAATTGTCAGTTGTTGAATTGTCAGTTGTTGAATTGTCTGAATATTTTTTTTGTAGTTTGTAATATCATAATTATCCAAAGTTAAAATAATAAATTGCATTATGTCGCAAAGAGTACTGTCAACCGTTGATCTTAGAGAGCGGCTCATGTGGTCAAACGTAATTTCTCATAAGATATCTAGAAAAATATCGACTGTAACACCATCTATGAATTCTTTTATAATTTCAAATAGCATATTATCTAGTGTTAAGAAAACAAAATTCGGATTGTGTAAAGGGAAATTAGTTTCAATATACAAGAAAAAAACGCAAATCCATCCTTCGATCCTGAGAATATGTTTCTTTTTACCAATATTTTTATGTGTATTCATTTTAGGTAATATATTATTTTATATACAAAAGTCTTAGATATGTTAATTTTTAGACATGTAGTATATAAATTGCCAATTTTAAGCCGTTCTGTCTTCATATTATAATTTAAAATATAGATTTTATATTTATGAAAATAAAATTTATAAATTTAATATAATTTTATCATATTTAGTTCATAAAAATTGTCTTTTAACATAATGACTCTATGAAGTAAATCAAATATTTTATAATTTAAAATTTTCATTTTATAACGATAACATAAAATACATTAACTTATTGTAAAATATTTTTACACATATTTATTAATATATAAATATATATTTATATTTAAAATGAAGAGATAACATGATTAAGGTAGTTATAAAGATTTTATATTATTAGCTTTAATGAAATACATGTTAATCTATATACATGTATTAGATAGTTTGCTAATGCTAACCCATCTTACCAACATATTAGATTTTACTTTTTAACATAAATATTTTATACTTACGAAAATAAAATATATAAATTTATGAAAAATTTATTATATTTACCTTAATATACTAATTTTCTTTTAATATGATTGATTATGATTATATAATAAATAATATGATATAATCTTTTACTTTTTATTTTATTTTATAAACTTAACTGAATATATTAATGTATAATTATATTTCAAATTAATTTCGAAATTAGTGAAAATATTTAAAAATAATATCAAAAATGAAGATCTTATAAAAAACTTTTAAAACAGATTTGTTAGAATTTAAATAAATATATTTATATTTAAAATGAAAAGAATCAAAAGATATTATGATCAAAGTATTTTAAAGATTCTCTATATTATTAGTCTTAATGAAATTCATATAATAAAAGTTTCTAATGATGGTCCAATTTTTTAAAAAATCACATTTGAATCAAAGTCATGACTTATGTTTTAATATAATAAAACTAGATTTTGATCCGCGCTTTCAAAACGCGGGATAAACTTTCGGTGAAAACACTATATAATAGTTTTTCTCTTTATTTAAAGTATGTTTGAATATAAAATCCACAATCCGAAATCCAAACTGAAGCCAAACTACAAAAACCCTATCCATATCCGATCTAAAATAAAAAAGATACCATAAGGGGTCTTGTAGGGTGGTAGTGATACAAAATATATCAAAACTCGAAGTGTTATTAGCCAATTCAAACCGATAACCCGAAACAAAACTTGTAAAATTTTTAAAAATCGAGCTGAATGTTCAAATTAGTCAAAAATATAAATATTTGTAAACATAAATATATAGTTTGAATGTTTAATTCTATATTTATTTTCGAGTGATATCCAGAAATAAATATTTAAAATTTTAAAAGTACCTTAATATCTTGATTCTATGTAAATAAATATTTATTTATTATGTTTTGTTTAAAAATTTTGGATTAAACTTCGGAAATATCTGGACCGAACGAGTATAAACCGCATTTTAACGATATATGATTATATTATGGTTTTAGGATGTGACAAATTAGAACCAAAATCAATGTGGTATCTCCAAACCCCGACCGTATACATAAATTTTACATAATAAGACCTATGATGTGATATAAATTAGAACTAAAATTCATAATACCAAACCCGTATCCTAAGGGATACCTGAACGCTCTAGTTTAACCTAAAACCTAATTTAGATGGGCTATGAATTTTATTCAAAATTTTATTTACCCAAATATAAATTCTATATATATATATGTGTGTGTGTACTTTTATAAAGAAACTTTTGTTTTTAAATTATATTAATTAAATTAAAATTTGTATACATTTAATTTTATGAAAATAAGATAATTCATTTATATAACCCACCTCATATTAATTTTAATTATATTTTGAAGGTATGATATGAATCTATTTTTTTTATTGTTTATATCTTTATGAAATAATTCGCAAGAAATTATAATTGTAAATCATAATATACAGTTTAGCATACTATATAATCAAATAATATTAATGTCAACTAAATTTAGTATTGTGTTTTATATTAAATTATATCCTAATATTTTAATTTAGATATGTATATTAAAACATAAAATTATATCTTATTTTAAATATTTTATTTTAGTATTTTGTTTTAATAAGTTGAAGTATGTTTTAAATTACATAAATATATGCTATTCTGTAAATATAATTCATTTAGTTTATAATTTACAAGAAATAGATTAAGTTTTTGTAGAATAATTATTTACTGTAATTGGTAATAACAAATATGAGTATTTATATATAAATAGTATAGAAGGTTATTTCTTATTCTATAAATCAAAATAAGTTAATATTCATTTGTAGTTGAATTTAATATTATTTACGAGTTTTATTATTAAAATAATATTATAGAAATATATATTTATATTTAAAATAAAAAAATATTGTTAAAATAAAATCTGAAAAAAATAGTTAGGAATATATTTTTGATATCTTATTTTGAATATATTTAAATAGTATTTTAAGATTATGTGTTTATTTAATAATAATAAGTTTGTTGTATGTAAAATAATATAAAATTAAATAAATGTAATAGCAACCTAAACTACTTGTAAATAGATAAAAATTATTTCTGTTTTAATAGTATTGATATTATATTTTTTTGGTTATTGTATAAATAACCCCTTGTCTAAAGTGTATCTAATGATTATCGTCGTCCGTAGTGAGTAAAAAAAAAAAAAAGGTCAATCCCTTATTGTTTAAGATTCTTGTTAGAGAGAGGCCCATGAAGAGTGCTCTAAAATTGTTACTTTCGGAAGGGAAAAGTTGAGGAAGAAAACATCCCGCCAACAAAATTCGACCCACATTTTCGTAAAACCAAAAAAATTGCAAAAATTTCGAAAACGAAAAAAAAAGAAAAACACACACACACACAGCGAGCGAGCGCCAATTCAATGTTTCATTCGAAAAATTCATCAGAAATGGCGCTTTGCTTCTTCCCTTTTTCTTACCCCTCTCTCTTTCATTCTCTCACAATCGATCTCGATCTCTCTACCTCCCTCCCTCTTCCTACCAATCAAAAACCATGTCCGACGATAAGGAGAACAACTTCGTTAGGATGACCAGAGCAGCCACCAAAAGAAAAGCTTCCATGGCCGCTCTTATAGACGAGGACCGTCTCAGCAAGAAGAGAGTTGTCCTCGGTGAACTTCCCCACCTCTCAAACCTCTCTACGATTCCAAAACAAACAAAAACCCCCAGAAAACCCGTCAGGAAGCAGAAGAAAGTTGCAGCAAAGCCAAAGGAACCAATCTCCGACATCGACACTAGATCCGATGATCCCCAGATGTGTGCTCCTTATGTTGTCGGAATCTTCGATTATCTCCGTCATTTAGAGGTTAGCTTCCTCGACCCACAGTTAAATCTGGGTTTCATGTGTTATATAGTTTGAATTTCGATCTGGGTTTTGTGTCATTCAGACAACAACAGTACTGTGTCTTGTTGTAAGAATTGCAAATATTAAATTTTTGGTGAAAATTTGAACACAGGTGAAGGAAAAGTCAAGGCCTTTGATTGATTATATTGAAAAGGTGCAGAAAGATGTAACACCTAATATGAGAGGAGTTTTGGTTGATTGGTTAGTTGAAGTTGCCGAAGAGTACAAACTTCTCTCCGACACTCTTTACCTCGCTGTCTCCTACATTGACAGATTCTTGTCTCTTAAGACCGTCAACAGGCAAAAGCTTCAGCTTTTGGGAGTTTCCGCTATGCTTATTGCCTCGTAAGCAAAAACATCTTCTAACCATTTTCCTATTTGTTTTGTTTGCATCTCTTTTTCAGCTTATGTTTTGGGGCTTTTTGTAGGAAGTATGAAGAGATAACTCCTCCGAATGTGGAAGACTTTTGTTACATTACAGACAATACTTACACTAAACAAGAGATTGTGAAGATGGAAGCTGATATACTTCTTGCTCTGCAGTTTGAATTAGGAAACCCCACAAGCATTACTTTTCTGAGGTTAGAATATGCTTCTTTTGGTTTGTCATTGAGTTTTTGGTTGCGTATATAATTCGTTGTCTCACTTCTGCTTCTGTTGGTTTTTGTGCAGACGGTTCACAAGAGTTGCGCAAGAAGATTTCCAAGTAAGCGCTTCTTGAATTGTGGCTTTTTTGTGAATGTGTAGAGTATCATCAATTACTAAGCTTTTTTTTTTTTACTCTTTCAGATGTCACATTTACAAATGGAGTTTCTCTGTAGCTATCTTTCGGAGCTAAGCATGTTAGACTATAACAGTGTGAAGTTTCTTCCATCTGTTGTGGCTGCTTCAGCGGTATATCTTGCAAGATTCATCATCCGTCCGAAGCAACATCCCTGGGTAAAGCCTGCTTCTTGTTCTAATTCAATATATACACCACTTTGTTTAAGACACTAAATCTCTGGTTGTTGAATGTAAACAGAGTGTAATGTTGGAAGAATACACGAGATACAAAGCGGGTGATCTCAAAGAATGTGTGCGTATGATACATGACTTGTATCTGAGCAGAAAAGGAGAAGCTTTACAAGCTGTTAGAGAGAAATACAAGCAGCATAAGGTAAAACCAATTAACTACTCTGAAATATGTTTCGAGTTCAATGTGAAAACACACAATGTTCTTGAGACTTAACATGTTTCTCTGTCTCTATTTTGGTTCCATAAACAGTTCAAGTGTGTTGCGACTATGCCTGTATCGCCAGAGCTTCCTCTTACCTTCTTTGAAGATGTCAACATTTAGAGAGAGAGCTTTGTTCATTGGCAAAGATTCGTTCAAAACCAGGAGAAGCAGTTCCTTGGTGTTTTGGGTTGTACATGTCTTAGGACTACTTTTAGTTGGATTAAAGACCTCAACTTATGTTTAAAGATTTTTGTTTATGTAATTTGGAATGTTTTGGTTGTGTTAAAAAAATTTAGCATACACTCTTTCCTCCCTTATTAATAGTTTTATACCAATGAAATTTAAAGTACCAAATTAGATCAGCCATTTTGGGAGGTGAATTCTGAAACTTTTATAGCAAAAAAAATGCATCCTCCTTCAAAAGCGACAATCCAAACTATGATGAAATATAAAACAAAAAAGGTAGATAAATCTAAGAGCAACTTCAGTTAGACTCTAAAACACCAAAATTGCTATGATTTCCTCTCTAATAGGATTACAAAAATAACACCAGATCATCCACTTTAGTGCAACAAAATTCATCACACCACCATTCGTCTCACCAGAGCAAGAAGTTGTCAAATGAAAAATTGAGTTACAGACTTTCTCTCTAGCTCTTCCCGCCTCTCCACCGCTGGCGTCTGTATTGGCGATGAGAGAGAGCTTCTTCTCTTTTACTAATTTTCTTCTTTTTGATTGATTATCAAGTTGCATTGTTTTGTCCTTCAACAGTTCTTTTTTTTTTGTAACATTTTGTTCTTCAACAGTTTACCTAGAACTTGACTCGCACCCTCGTGCGGGTGTTTGATTTAACTTGTGTTTAACGTAAATTCATAAACCGTTAGTTTTTTAAAAAATTTTTTTTATGTTTTGTAATTTACATATAAAGTAAAATATATTATTTTATAATATAAATATGTAATAATAATTTTTATTTGTACATAGTAGTATATTAGAAATTTTATAACTTGATGCAATTTGATGTAATCGTACTAATCATATACTAACATGTTGTTTTTTGTTAATTTATTTTAAAATAAAACAACATACTAAAAATTATTTTTTTTAAATTAGTTTTCTATGAATTATCATTAATTTTATGATATTTTATTTTAAATTGAACTCACACAATTTTATATTTGACTAAATTAAATAAGGTAATATTATATTTAAAAATTATTTTATATAATGTATACTATATATTTTGGTTTGTGTTTTTATTTTCATCACAGAGAAAGAAAAATTATTGAAATTAATTAACTTAAACTGATTTTAAATGCAATGACATAATCTGTAAATAAAAAGAAATACAAAAGGAAAGTATTTAATTTATTGTAAATACAATGACTAAATGTACAAATAAAAGAAAATACTTAATCTACTATCCATGTTTCCAAAATATGTTTCATTTATTTTGCTATCCTTATTTCTAAACAGTACCAAAAGGTACTTCAGTTTTAATAATATAGATTAGATATTTTTGGTTTAACCCCGGATTTTTCACCCAAATCATTTTGATGTAAAACATAAAACATTTTCCCAGTTTAGAGTCTAACCCAAATACTTAAACTTTTTTTGTCATAAATATACCACACCTTAAAATAATCAAAATAGTATATATTGAAAGAGAAGTCATGACTTCATCTCATGTGTGATATTTTAAAATGGACCATCTAATAGAATTTATGGCATTACATTATTCAATCATTAATAACATTCATTAGATTCACTAATAACATTTATTGTGCTTACTAGAAATTTTTATTGGGGTAATAAAAATTAGATGATCCATTGGATTTATAGATATTATAATAAAATACATTTTTAAATTAAACTTATATAATTTAATATTGTAATAGTATAAGTTAATTATTTATATATTTTTGATGTTAACTTTAAAAATTATATATTTTATTTTTAAAAATAACAAAATCATCATTTTCTAACAATAATTAATTATCATTTTCTATATACACACCTTATATAATATATACCAATTTAGAAGTAAAAACAATATTTATATAAAAACAAATGAAAACAAATACCCGCGCGGTTGCGCGGATTGAGATCTAGTGTTTCATTAAAACGAAAGTAAATAAACACTCGTATTTTTAGGGTTAACTAATGTATACTTTTGGGGTCAGATTCGAGGGATATTATAACATCCCGAGTTGTGATATATGAAAAGGCTTAAGAAGATTGATTTAACTATTTATGTCACCAAAATGCACTTACTTTTTCGGGAGCATATCCAGAGAGAACTCTTGAATTAAGCGTGCTTGAGCTAGAGTAGTCAAAGGATGGGTGACCTATCAGAAATTAATTTGTGATACGGTGTAACTGAGGCCAAAGGACGTGTAAAGTTCATGTGGTGATTGCAGGCAGTAAACATGACTCTGGAGCTTTGAAAAATTAACAAACCGGCCGTTGGAACGAAATGAGACCCACATGCCGAGAGAACAGGCGTGGGTGACCCATTAGCCGTGGGCGGTTGAGGCGTTATAAGTGATATTAGAGCTGGTTAGCCATCTCAGTTCTTACCTGAGAAGCATCTTGAGACATGTGGCGCAACGAGAACGTTGCATTCTTTGAGAGGAAGTGAAATGTAATATCCCGAGTTGTGATATATGAAAAGGCTTAAGAGGATTGATTTGGCTACCTATATCACCAAAGTGCACTTACATTTTCGGGAGCACATCCAGAGAGAACTCCAAAGTTAAGCGTGCTTGAGCTGGAGTAGTCAAATGATGGATAACCTATTGGAAAGTGATTTGCGATACCGTGTAAGTGAGGCCAAAGTATGTGGAATGTTAAGTGGTGATTGAATGGTCATTAAACATTACTCTGGAGCCTTGGAAAACTAACGGACCGGCTGTTAGAACGGGATGGGGTCCACTGACCGAAAGAGCGGGCGTAGGTGGCACATTAGCCGTGGACGGCTTCACGTTACAAATATGGTGTTGGAGATGGGTGGGGTTTAGGATTTTTTAAAGTAAGAAAAAATAATTAAATTAAATTTAAAATAAAAATTTTAAGAGTTTCAAAATTTGTTTAGAAAAAATTAAAAAATATAAAAAGTTGGAATTCAGAAACATATCATTAAAAAATTATATTTATTATTTAGTTAATAATCATTGATATTTATATAGCTAAGAATAGACGACTCATTGATTTTTAATAAAAAAAATCATTTTTCTTCGGTTTTTTTGGTGAAAATAATTTTAGGATCTTTTGAGAAAATTATATAGTAAAACAATATTCATCATACCAAAGAATAAAACTATATATTTAATCTAGTTTTAGTACTATTATTAATTAGTTAAAATACATAACTAAAAATAAATAAAATCATATTTTTTTCTATTTTTTATTTTTACAATACTAAGTATTTCTCTCTTGATGATAGTACAATTGTAGGTTTTTGTTATATCTGTAAAACTATTTTACAACTTGATAATACAACTTGATGAGTATTATCATTTACATCAAGTTATAATAACTGTAATATCACATATTTTTATTTGTATTTTTAATTACGTAAAATTTTAATTGTAACTAATAATTTATATAAATATATAAACTGATATGCAAGTTGGTTATGATAAAATTAATATCATATTTTAAATAAACATTGAAAATATAAATTACAAAACTAATATAAAAAAAATAAAAACTAAATGCAAACAATATTAAACGGCATATTATAGATTTAAACACTAACTTAAAATTAAGGAAATTTGCCTCCGCTTAGGTACTGATAGTAATCAGAATAATCTTGGTAATATTTGGTTTTCAGCTTAAAATTACATGGTAGGAAACATAAGTGTAGGAAACATAAGTGTAGGAAACATAAGTTTTTGAATTTGGCCTTCTTAAGTTTAGGATGCTTTATATTGAGATCCATGATATCGGCTTTGAGAACCTTCTCCATGTTTTTCATGGTGGCTAGTCAATGTTCTTATTCTAAAAAATATTTTTCTTTCGCTTTCAATACGTGCAAGAGAGACACTAGATAAGCCAGAGAGCGCAAATCTATGAATAATATTTTACTAGATAATTTTCTCATCCTTATGCATGTGTATAAATATTTACATAGTAAATATAATATAATAATTTATTAATATTTTATTTTAATGTTTAATTATTTGGAATTTGTATTGTAATTAATATGCATTGTTTATTTAAACAATATTATGTTATTTTAATTACATGAATCTTTTTGGATATATAATATCTTATCTATTTAGTTATTGTTTAGATATATTGGATAACATCTATTTTTTGGCTTCAACCATAAGATTTTTGTTTTATAGATTCAAATTTGATTAATTTTGTTATTTTCATTTAATTTGATTTTTGTCTTAGATATGTAAATATATTTTATTAAGATTAGGTCTAATTAGCATATGTTGTTTTGAGAATCAAATAATAAAAATTAACTAAAATGATGATTGATTCAAAGTTACATAAATGAACATAACAACGATAGTATTTTGGAAACCTCATGCGTTTATAAATTATGTAAAAGAACTTAGTTATAAGAGTTGGTCAATATCTCTATAATGTTATTTGAGAATTTTATATTTATTTATTAATATATTGAGTCGTTTTAAAATTTATACGTATAATGTTTTCAAAAAAATTAGTTCAATTCTTGATTTTGGATATAAGAATTTAGATTGGTTAGCCTAGTTGCTCATTTTGTGGGTATATTGTGTTACATATCTAATCTATTAAAACTGAAGTACAAGTTGAAATTAACCATTAACTTTCCTCAATATTTACCATTTGATGCCACTGGATATTTAGCAACACTAATTTCGTGATGGACATTACTTTTATATATGCTCGAAGCCCATTATTATCTGTTACATATATAATGATCAACAATCATTATTTGGGCTAATGTAAGTATCTACTAATTACATATTTTTAATTCATATACCATATAACATTTCAGTATAAAAAAATTCGGTATATAACCAGAACATTGATTCCATATATAGAATTATTATTTTCGCATAGCTTATTCTGATAAAATGATAAGGGTGATTTCTAGTCCTGTTCGTTTATTGTGTATTGAAATTAAACGGTTTAAGTTAACCCATCGACTCTGTTTTTCTATCATCAACAAGGAAATTTTGAAAGTAAAATTTAATATGGAAAAATTGTTTAACCGAATATCTAGCATCTATGTTAACTATATTTTTTTTTTTGGTTTGGTTTGGTTTCATGTGATGTGTTTGTGCTCGAT